ACACACACACACACACACACACACACACACACACACACACAGACTCGGACACACACGTCAGTGACAGCGCTGGGACCCAGGATGGTTTCTTTCCTGCTCTGGGACTCTGCCAGCCTGACTGACAGAGTTGACCCAGGGCAGGTCTCCGTTCTTGCCCAAATAACCACCTCACATTCAGCTTACCTTGCTCCACTGCTCACACTTTCACCCCCTCTCTGATAGGCCACTGTAACCAAAAACAAATATATCGTGTTATACACCACACAGTGGGTGAATCTTAAAACAATTGTTAGCCCATCATCCCTGTAAATCCCAACTGTTTCATTCCCAGGAGGATGCCATGGATCAGCTTTGGGGAAATGATAAAACAAAGAACTGCAGGCGCTGAAGACCTGAAACAAACAAAGAACAGAAAGTGATGAAGAAACTCAGCAGGTCTGACAGTATCTGTGCAGAGAGAAACAGAGTTAACGTTTCAGGTCCAGCGATTCTTCTTCAGAACTGCTTGTAGCTGAGGAAAGGTTGGTGTATGTGCTGATGACAGGGTCTGGGGCAAGAAAAGGAACGAGCAGATAGGTGCAGACAGAGACCAGAGAGAGAAAGAAAGCTAAACAGACAAAGAGATTGTTGATAGTAATCTAGAGAAGAGAAGCTGTAGACAGGTGTTAATGGGCTGTGACTGGATGAGAATGGGATGGATGTGCTGAAAGTGGCTCTTTCATAACAAGGCCTTACAGCCTACAGGACTCAATATTAACAATTTTAGGGTCTGAGCAGCTCCTTCCATGTCCTTTACCCACCCTCACATCCCAGGTCACTTTCAGCACAGCTAACTGATTTTCACCCACTCACAGCCCCCTTATCACCTTTCTATAGCTTCTCTTCTTCCCTGGCTTACTATCAACAATCCCACTTTGCTCCTCTCCCTGTCTCTCTCTGGGCTCCATCTCTACTTATCTGTTCACTCCTTTTCTTCCCCTGCCCCTGTCATCAGCATAAATAGCAATGTAGGGTAGCACAGTGGCTCAGTGGTTAGCACTGCTGCCTCACAGCACCAGGGACACAGGTTAGATTCCACCCTTGGCCAACTGTCTGTGTGGAGTTTGCATGTTCTCCCCGTGACTGTGTAGGGTTGTTCTGGTTTACTCCCAAAGGTTAGGTGGATTGGCCATGCTAAATTGCCTACAGATATGCAGGATTAGCCATGGGAAATGTGGAGTTGAAGGGGTGGGTCTGGGTGGGATGCTCTTTGGAGGGTCTGAGTGAATTCCTTGGGCCAAATGGCCTACTTCCACACTATAGGGATTCTATGATTTGGAGAGCCAGTGCAGATACAATGGGCAGACTGACCTCCCTTTGCACCACAACAATTTTATGATTTCTTAGCTGCCACTGATGAAGGGTCACTGGACCTGAAACTTTAGCTCTGTTCCTCAGTCCACAGACACTGTGTTTCTCCAACAACTTCTGTTTTTGTTTGTTTCAGAAAATAAAACCAGTTTCTTCTCGTGCTGTCACTTACAGAATATTTTGTGGTTCCCGAGCCCCACGGTGACGGAGAGCCATTGTCCAAACTGAGAAAGGGATGGTCAGTTCTTCACTCTATCAACATATTTATAATGAATCCTCTGCAGAAATATTATGAAACCAAGTCCGAGGCTAGGAAACCTGCAGTGAGTAAACTACCTCCTGACTCCCCAAAGCCTGTCCACTATCGACAAGGCACAAGTCAGAACTGTGATGGAATACTCCCCATTTGCCTGGATGGGTGCAGCTCCAACAACACACAAGAAGCTCAACACCATCCAGCACAAAGCTGACCTCTTGATTGGCATCACTTCCACAAGCATCCACTCCCTCCACCACCAATGCCCAGTAGCAACAGTGTGTACTATCTACAAGATGCACTGCAGAAATTCACCAAAGATCCTTAGACAGCACCTTCCAAACCCACGACCACTTCCATTGAGAAGGATAAGCGCAGCAGATACATGGGAACAACACCCCCCTGCAAGTCCTCCTCCAAGCCACTCTCCATCCTGAGTTGGAAAAATATCGCCATTTCTTCACTGTCACTGGGTCAAAATCCTGGAATTCCCTCCCTAAGGGCATTGTGGGTCTACCTACAGCACATGGACTGCAGCTTTTCAAGAAGGTTGCTCACCCCCACCTTCTCAAGGGGAGCTTGGGACGGGCAATAAATGCTGGGCCCTGCCAGCGATGCCCATATCCCAAGAAGGTTGTTTAAAAATGTCAACGTCAGGATCAGTGTTCCCAGTATCATTGCAGTCCATATACAAGCAGCAGTCCCCTGATTGGACACAAAGAGCAGGCTTCCCTGTCAGATCAGTGCATATCAGATGGTGTCATTGAGAGGAAAAGTCCAGTCAGCATTGTCAAACATTCCCCCTCTGCCAGAGAAACATCCAAACCCAGTCAAATCGCCTTGTCACTGTAAACAGCCTGGGATGCCCACTGCATTGTGCAGTTACACCCTCTAACCCTGGTCCACCATGCTCAGTAACATAATGGGGACTAGTAAGATGCAGGGAGTTGACAGGAAAGGACCAGAACAGATAGCTTTCAAAAGGCAGACAATACAGGAACAGGAGTAAGTCCTTGGAGATACAGCAGAGAGTGGGATGAATTTACGAAGCCAGTAGAGGAATGATGGGCTAATTGGCCTCTTTCTGCACCATATGATTTTATGAAGTGACCATTCAACCCCTTGGGCCTACTCTGCTATCCCATCAGACGTTAGCTGATCAACATCCGAACCTCAGTGAAACCTTGAGACCAAGCTGGTGGGAAAACCAGGTTTAAGGCTTGACAATGAACTGAGGATCCCGCATAGATTTTCGTTAATGGTCAAAAATGTTAAAACTTATTTAGTCTCGAAACAAGGCTGAATCATGGTATTTAACCATTGAAAAAGCCACCCAGCATTGTGGGGGAAGCTATCCAGGAGCAGAAGGTGGCAAATCATAACGGCAAGTTCACAACATTCCAACGCAGGAAAACATGAAAGAAATGGGAATATTTACCTGTTGGTGTGAATGTGAAAGAGGGGACTGAAAGAAAGAAGCAAAAGATAGGTTATCTGGCTGTAGGAAGTGGGGGAGGCATTTGTAAATTGTTGTGACAAAACAAATCTGCAAGATGAAGTTCAAACTCATTCTGCCTCTTTATCCCAAGCTCCAGGGAATTTCAATTATTTCTTAACATGTCCATGCTCCAGTAGAATTTCAGAAAAAATGTGATTAACTGCTCAATCCCAACTGGACACTCAATAGTTCCAAACTTGCTGACAATTCACCTTTTATGTTAGGACAGAGTCAGGTTAGAGAGCAGAAACACTGACACCAAAGCTGATTGAAGATCCTGCAATGGATTCCAGGGACTCCCCTCACTGCTCTGCCAAGCCAGGAATCCATCAGTCCACCCATTAGTGAACAATACCAGTCTCCCCCTTCCCTTTCCCCAGCTTGAACCTACTCTTCCATGTTTATAGACACTTGGGGGTTTGACATGTTCAGACCTGCTTCCTGCTGTCAATTTCAGTGTCAGATACAGCTTACAAAAAACAGTTGTTTCTGAAGAAGGGTCTAGGCTCTAAACGTCAGCCTTCCTGCTCCTCTGATGCTGCTTGGCCTGTTGTGTTCATCCAGCTCTACACCTTGTTATCTCAGATTCTCCAGCATCTGCAGTTCCTACTATATCTTGTTCGAAAATAAGTCGGGATGTGTTTACCAAATCCTCCATTTAATCAGGGACTGTGTTTATTAAATCCTCCATTTAATCAGGGACTGTGTTTATTAAATCCTCCATGTAATTAGGGACTGTGTTTACTGTATCATATATTCAATCAGAATTGTGATTACTGAATCCTTTCTAATTCAGAACATTGTTTCAATGTTGTACTTGGGCTAAAGAAATGAAAGAGAATACATTTAAACATTGACCAGGAAATAAAGAGAGAAAGGAAGGTAAAGAATAAAAAGATGAAGAGATAGAAACAATGGAGATTGCATTGTTGCTTTTTGTCTTTGCAGGTTTTCTATACTGAGCACTATTGCCTTTCTGTTGTAAAGAGACACATTGTTAAAGTTTTATATCTTGTACTCAGGAGAAATTGCAAGAATACCACATTCAAACAATCACAATCAACTATTAACACAAATGTTGTTCGATCATGAGATCCCAGCTAATAGTAAATATTTCCTTTTGGGCTTTGCAAACATGGGCTGGTTGTGTACAGCCTGTACTCTTCCTATGATGAAAAATGAAGGGACATGCTGCTTGATAGGATCAGCCAGTGGTTGAGATTTAGGCTATGTACCTGGCATCACACTGGCACACAAACTTAAACATGATGCAGTTCAACTGTATTGTTTGTGAAAAAAACTGCTCACATAGCTACATCAACAATAGAGCAGCATTGTGGCTCAGCGGTTAGCACTACCATCTCACAGCACTGGAGACCTGGGTTCAATTCCAGTCTCGGGTGACTGTGTGGAGTTTGCACATTCTCTCTGCATCTGTGTAGGTTCCCTATGGGTGCTCTGGTTTCCTCCCATAGTCCAAAGATGTGCACGCTAGGTGCATTGGCCATGCTAAATTGCAGGTCTGCAGGGTGAGTGGATTAGCCATGGGAAATGCAGGATTATGAGGATAGGGTAGCGGCTTTGGTCTGGGTGAGATGTTCTTTGGATGCTCAATGCAGACCTGATGGGCCAAATGGCCCCTTTCCACAGTGTTGGGATTCTATGACCAGTAAGTGAAAGATAATCAATCAAGATTGTAATGTGGTTCCTTCATATTTGCTGGAAGTGACAAACACTCAGTCCTCTGCAAACAAAAGGAGTATGGTCAAATCTTGTTTCTTTTTGAATTACCCAGTAGTTTGAGAAACGCTGTGGCTTTCTCCTTGGCAACACCTCAACCAATTTGCGTCAGTCAACTTGTGAATCAACCAGTACCCTTTAGCTCTGCAGTATAAATTTTTGTGATGGTTTGAAATTTGCCATTCTTGCATTGGTCCTGATGAATGCCAGGTGGAATATTTTTCCACCAGATCACTTTCCAGCAATAGTTATGTTCTGGAATACCATGCAAACTCTCATTCTAACCTCACACAATACATTATTGAGACAGCACATGTCACCACGGAAGTCTCTCAGACAGAAAGCTGTCAGTACCTGAGAGTGAAGAAGCCATTTGGCCCATTCAACCTAAGCTCTCCTCACAATTTGTCCTAACCATTCTTGCTGCTTCTTAGGTTCAGCTCTTCTACAAATCCTAAGACCATAAGAAATAGGAACAAGAGGAGGCCATTTGGCCCCTTGAGCCTGCTCTACCATTCAATAGGATCATGGCTGATCCAACATTCCTCACATCCACTTTCCTGCCCTTTCCCTTTAACCCTTGATCCCCTTATGGATCAAAAATCTATCTCAGTCTTAAGTATACATAAGGATTCTGCCCCCACAGCTGTCTGTGGCAAGAGGTTCCAAAGGCTCAATCTTCTGAGAGAAGAGATTCCTCCTTATCTCAATCTTAAATCAGTGCCCCTTTATTCTGAAACTGTGCCCTCTGGTCCTAGACTCTCTCATGAGGGGAAACATCCTCTCATTATTTACCATCTCATCAAGTCCCTTCAGAATCCTATATGTTTCAACAAGATCACCTCTCATTCTTCTAAACTCCACTGAGTAGAGTCCATCCTATTTAATCTTTGCTCATAAGACAGTTCCTCCATATCAGGCATCATCCTAATGAACCTTCTCTGAATTGCCTTCAATAAAATAGTATCTTCAATTAAATAAATGGACCAGAACTGCTCGCAGTACTCCAAGTGTGGTATCACCAGCACCTTGTACAGTTGCAGTAAGACTTCCTTATTCTTATGCTCCAAACTTTGGCACATATTCTCCTAAACCCAATCCATTTAGGGGCTTAAAAAAAAACCAGAAAGAACTGCGGATGCTGTAAATCAGGAACAAAAACATTGGATGGGCAGGAGGAGTGCTGTCATTGGATGGGTCCATGTGGAGAGAAACAAGACAAAGTCCCTAAAAGGAACAAAAACAAAGTTGCTGGAGAAGCTCAGCAGGTCTGGCAGCATC